CTTGAATGAATGGGGACAAAAAGTTCATTCAGCCTGAGCCACATAGGATTGCTTCGTAATGGCACCTTTCATGCGGCACCTCCTAGTCTGATGAGTTTTTGATTCCAAAAGCGAATTTTTACATGTTGGGGTATCGAAATATATTCGGACAAAAATGAACAATACTGAAAGTGGGTACTTAAGTAAGACGTACACCTGCACTGCGATTTGGTGGGCGGGATCATTGCATAGATCACCCTAGGAACCACACTCAATACCCTCGTTGATAACCCCGCTCAGAAGCTCGCACTTGCCTGGATTGGCACACTGCTACCAAAGTTTTACGTTGGCTACCACTGCCTGTGAATCGGTATCAATAAGAGATAATTTGATTTGCAACATTTAACATGAGCTTTGAAGGCAGCCAGTGAGCTAAGTATAACTACAGCACTCCAGGTGAAAGAAAAAACAGGACTTACGTGCATCCTTCATGCCTAAGCCGAATGCCATTAATTTTCTATATTGCAGATATTTTCCGTACTTGCTGCAATGACACGACCGGAAGATGCCTGGATGTATCGAACGCTGTGGTTTGTCGTCAACGACGTCTTGTGCGCCAGCAATGCTCCTATATTGCTGGCATTGAACAAGCCAATCCGTAGGGTGTATATGAAGAAAATAGGATTACAACCTAAAGAAAATCGTACAAAAGGATCTCTTATATGTCACATATGAGCACTGCCATTTACATCTATTGAGAACATTCCAGAGAGCTGGTGAGCTAACAATAGGATATTAAAGGAATGTAAATAAGGGATAAAAACAGTATCAAAAACCGTAGCTCTTCCAGCTCGGAATGTACTTCCGTTTGCGATGTTGGTGCTATGACATATAAATTAGTAGTTGACGGTGAACAATCTGGTTTTTGGGATGCGCCCCCGCATTCGACTCTCAGTCAGAATCGTAGAACGTTTTGAATGTGATATGGCTTACACAATGACTCGCGGAGGCCAGACGATGTACAAGTCACTGCTTTTATCCTCCCAGACGAGTCTGGTACCAATTGACCGAGGTTAGGCCTTTTGGTTGGGCTAATCAGTACCGATTCGGGTTCGAACCCGTGACCATGCGTGTGTGATAGACACCACACCACCTCTGCCCTAAATTGGTGCTGCACTAGATAATGTGAAAGCTTGTTGGACTCCTTTGCGTAGACCCGTGCCCAAAGAGGTTTTTCCAATCTTTATTATTCCTACTAACTGTCTGTAACTATTTACTTGGTCTTCGCAAGCGCCACACTTCATCCATACGAGTAAGCATCCAATTCAATTTTATTCTTGATCTCCATTCAGAGCTCTCGCTCTTATTTCTTTGCCCTTGAAACCATAAAAACTATTCTGATACGCGTACCCAACTTTCTTCAGAAACGGTTTTTTTGTATGTAGGACAACGGCTTGAACAGGACCCACCGACTCTAAATGCAGCCATCTACCACCAGCTCAAGGAGATTTTTTATCCGTAACTAATGTGTACCTGCAGGAACGAGCCATAAACAGCTGGTCAACCTACTGATGGGGCCAGGCCCTGGTAGTACTCATGTAGACTCCCGCCCGCGCCGTGACCATCACCCCACTTAATTTCCAGGGTTCTCATAAACTATAGGCTTACAGTGCTTCCATTTTTGCTTTCAACTGAGCACTCTGACAAAGAAATTTAGCATTTAGAGCTAGGCTGTAAAGACATGCTATCGAAAATTACAAAATCCGTCATTCCATTGCATGTGAATGAACTGCTTGTAACGTAATAATAAAGTATTTGATAACGAGTTTGATCATTTTCGTTTCTTCCAAATCCCAGGTGTTACCGATAAAGGCCTGTACCTCTTCTTCCAACAGAGACATCAACTGTGATATTGAACAGAGGCATTCTATTAACAGAAACCCGACCTAGCAGTGAATCTAGTGCAGGTTCCGGAGCAAAAGAATTAACTGAGGTAACGCTATGGTCGAAAAAGGCTGCAAACTGCACGAAATTCCTCAAAAGCAGCAGAAATACCACCGCAGAAATGACCTTTTCAACCTATTAACCTATTAGGGCAGATTTACCTTAGCGAAAGTATGCAAGTAGGAGAAGTTCAGCGATAGCGTCGGATACAATCTGCTATTGTACACAGGAATACATCCGAAAAGTCGATTCTGGCGATCGACCCAGCACATATGCTATACAGCAAAAAGCAGAGTTCCGCATTTCTTTTTAATTTTTTTTACAATATTTCACTTGGTATCACCTCAGTGTTGAACCATGTTACACTGCACTGCACTTCCACTTCAGAGCCCTACCCCTGAATTAGACTGATTGAGTTCCTATCACCCTTACATTCTCAGAGCTTACTACAAAAAAAGAAACCGTTCACCTAACACCTCTGCAATATGGTTTAATAGTATAGCCATCCAAGATTTTAGTGTTGGTGCCAAAGTGCATAAACGACATCACGTGCCCACCGGGTCCGGGAACTTCTCCCCTAACACGGCGTCGCAACGCCGCCTATCGCAGGATTGCGATGGAAGATTGGAGCGCGCAATTTGTGAGGCAGGGAATCCTTTAATTATTTGAATGGACTGGCCGATCTTTCCAATTCCAATGCGGTCTTGATCGTCGTTTATATAGGAGGAGTCATTTTAATTAATCAAGTCTAATAAACATGGAAACTAAAAAGAAACAGAAGAAAAAACGATAAAATCCAATGAAAAAGCAAGCCAGTCAAGGAAAATATCGCGTCCTATCGATTGGCGGGAGGCGGGATGAGTACGGTGATTGCAGTGACATTTGCCGCATGCCGCAAGGGAGAGTGCCGCGATAGGAGAGAAGTTCCGAACCAGGTGGAGAAGGGACCTACTCTCAGAAGCAGTGAAAGTCTCCAAGAAGGTGCAATTTGCGGAATATGTCCAACGCGTCCAAACCCTTCCGAAGGAATAATGCCAGAATCAATGGACGGAGTACTTCAAATAAGCGTTTCGAACTGTGAATGTTGTCGAAAAATTACTTAGAACCCGCACCCTTGGAGCGGACTCAATAGACACCCCAATTCAACGAATTACTGGTTCACACTGCCGAAAAAGTCAACAAGCGTCAGAAGTGGCATTGACTTCAACAACATTTCACTCCTACTCACCGTTTCATAATTTAAGCCTGATGAAATACGCGATATTACAGTCTCTTAACACTCGTGATTGAGTGTACGGAAAAGGTGTCTTGCTTTGTCACAACCTATGTAGGTCAATCTTTAATTACATCATAATTTTGTGAGACATTCTCACTCCCGTCCTGCAGGGCATATTATTAAACATGAAAGACAGAATATGTAGTCATCATAATGGCGGTGCCAAAATTGCTCGCAACGCTGGTTCATCACATGCTTCAGAAGCCGTCTGGCCATCACTGTTGCGTGCCATTCGATCAGCTCCTTTGGAAATCAGAACTTCAGCTGCAGCTTCACGATGACAATATGCTGCTGAAATCACACTTTAGGGTCTTGCAGGATTCGACGTTAACTTTGAGTGCTTTTTTGAGTACTTCTACTTTGAGTTCATTCTCTTGAAACTTTTCGCGGCTTCTTTATCCCAGTGAGTTCTCAGATTGTTCAATGGCATCAGACTACTAGGAGTAGAAGTAATCAGTTGTTCTGCACAAATATTAAGCGCTCCTAGCAATGAGAGAAGCTCCTTTCTGAGCATTTTTTATCACAGAAAAAGTGCTCACAAATCGAGAAAGCTTCAAAATATAATGTAAAGATACATTAGTATCAATAACTCACCAAAATGCAAAGGGGTATTGCCTTCAGGATCTACTGCATTAACGTCAGCCCCTTTGGAGATCAAGAACTGTATCACTTTATCACAACCAGAATCGATGGCCCAATGCAAAGCAGTCATCTGAAACACCTCACCCTCCCTTCACGGTTCTGATATTTCATTTTATGGAGGACTCACACCGAGGTGCTGATCCGTACTATTCAGTACTTCTGGCTTACGATTGTATATATCCGTCATTGTACTTTCATCATCTGCCTTCGCTGCCGTAAACCATAACAATGCTTCGCGATCACTGACGGACATCGAACTACTATCGGACGATTCGCTCTGAAGAAATTGTCCAATAGAGCTCTTTATTTGGAAAACGAATGTCATGGTAGTCAAATGACACTAGATTTACTATTAACTACCAAAAGCTTCTTTCCAAAAATTATTAAAACAATTACCACTCAACATTCAGCAATAGAAATTGGGATTATAAAGCTGTCGATGATACTTAGTTGTAAAGCTGCATAGTCTCTACCAGAACACGCTGATAAATAATGGTTCGACTAGAAAATTTTCTTCATCCTTTGCTATGTCAAAAAATACGGGATCAATGATAATAATAACAGAAAAAGTATACTTCAATCAGAAGCAAATCTACCCTGAGGTTATAAACACAAGGCGCAACTTTTCTAAGTTCGTGAATGAGTGTCCGGACCTTTTCTTATGGGGCAAACGGCCCCTTTTGTCTTTAAAGTTCAACTGTCAAGAGATGAACAAAAGCTGAATTACGTAAAAACCCACTATGACAGCCGGGCGGCTAGGTCGAACACCGAAACCTCTTGATGAGTGCTGAGTTGACGGATCCCAACCCACATCCATGCTGGCCATTTTCGTTACGTACCTAAAGCGAACATGTCGCCAGGTAAAGTATATCTACATTATGTCACTCAAAAAATTAAAGACACTGTAGAAACGAATTATCCTTATTTGGAGATGAATGGGGTTTACTGTTTCACTCGAAAACTACTTCTTGACTTGAAATAAATCAACGTCAATACATATAGTACTAAAAAACTTTTCGGAACACTTCAGTCCAACGGTAAGAACTAGTCCCGAATTTCCTTAATGATAAAATACATGTAAGTCGCATCACTCACGTTTTCATGGCTACTTCCTTTGACATATTGCCGAGCTGAGCCCATGCATCGAATTTTAACCTTCCTTTGGCATCAAAGAACGAAGGCCGTTCGGCAGGTTCTGAATTAGACAAGCGTATGCTTGATTCTGATGCAGGAATATATATTAGACTGAACAAAACTGTTGTCTAGGTCGTTTGCGAATTGCTTCAAAAAAAACTGTAAAGTATCTTTAAAAACCATTCAAGAAGAGATATGATTGTAAAAAGTGATATTGTCTATTTCCATCAACTCCATATTAGACGGGCCTTTTCCTAACATAAAATTGTCTTCTAATCGAGTATGATGGTAACAAACTCCAGATTTTAACCACTTACGTGCTGGACCAGCAGTTGCTTGTTTGTAGAGTCCATAAAATTGCATGAGGTCACTGCGATCAAGCTTACCAACGATGCTTGGAAGGTAAGCGGAGGCGGATTGAAACTGTGTTTCAAGGGCAGGATCAATTTTTGCCTTAAAAATAGTCATTAACCTTGAATCGTCTAGAATACCAAAACACAATGTCTTATAAATAAGGCCAATTAACTGAGGGTCTAATAAAGTAGACACCTATCAAGGCAAGCTTGTGATAGATGTCTACTTTATTGGAAGAACCCCACAAATAAGTCGGTAAGTAGCATTTTTAATCGGCAACCGATTCTTATAAATGTAAAGACAACAAGTCGTGAATGAGCCAAGAATATGTTCAGGGGTATGTATGGGAAGCGAGCTATTGATGGCGTCTGAGCTCGCACCCATTAAGTGTTTTTGCTTTGGAATAATTGCGAAGAATAAGCAGACACCAACCTCATCAGGACAGCTCATGATATCAAAGTCGTCCTCAAACGCTTTGTCACCCTTCGTCTCTGAAATAACCCCTCATAATCGAGGGATTGAGGCGATTCAAGTGAAAAAGAACATAGAACAAAACCGAAAAATCTTCATGACAAACAAATAATGGAACCTACGTACCTTGGGATTTGGAACCACCTAGATACTTCTGATAATACCGTGCCAATAACACAGTAAACATTCAATCTCGCATTGATATCCACCTTAGGTACAGATTTGGAAGGCTTCAGAGTTGATCTGAAATGTAATTGCAGAAAAGTAAATAAAAGAACAGCTGAACAACAAAGCGAGACCCAGGCGTTTCACGCATCCCCGGAGATATCAAAAACTATAGAGCACCAAAAAAAANAAAAAAAATAAAATAAAATAATTGCAGGAGTAAACACAGGAGAGAGTGCGAACCGCATCCCTCTAAAGGAAGATGCATGCAGAGACATTTTGTGAAAACCACAATAAAGGAATGAAGTAGAAATTAACAGGTAGTTTCTCGGGCGAGAACGAGATTGGGGGGAGGGATAGGGGGAAGGGCAACATTCGCCTCCAGAATCCAGCATAACTGTGCAGCAACCTTACTGAGAAAAGGCTCTTATCTAAGGAAATAGAACTTTCTACCTGAGCCTCGAAATCGTAGGCCACTCCAGTTATATTCGGTTTACAGTGGTTCAAAATGTTCTGCAGAACAGACAGTACCACTGACACAGTACTCTAACGCCTAAATATATTGGCCTGAACTTTTAAGCGGCATTCGTTGTGCCTCAAAAAGCCCACTCCCCAGTAGCCACTTGGTCGTTATATTTCGGTTTTCAGAGAATTCTCTTGGTTGAATTATTTCTTAAATTATGGGATCTGTGAAATCGAAAGTTGATGTGGACAAAATTCATAAAGAGGTACGTTCAGTTTTAAAGGATTTTGAAGTACTGCGATACAAATGTTAGCGAACAAGGATGAAAATGTAGTTGGGATGGGGAGAGGGGAGGGGGGGGGAGGCAGCGGCCTTTTGAATCACTGACGGCTAGAGCGCCGAAAAGGAAGAGAGGCCGAGC